CCACTATAATTCTTCGGATCATTTGAGGTGAAGGGATCCCTCCTTGATATAATTATTTTAATATTATTAAATTTTACAATCGAACTGCTATTCTTCATAAATAAGTTTGATATGGACTTCTTGAAGAAATTGAGAAAATTTTTCAATTGATTCCCATTTCATTTTATGAAAGAAAGACTCCTCTTATGGCACTTAACACTTTAATTATTGCAAATAATATAACTTAAAACATAACAACAAATAACAATTCATCTACTCTTGTCTAAAGCATCCAGTGCTTTTGATATATTAAATTCTGGAAATAATATTGATATTTCCCTTGTAGCGGATTCAATACTATCTGAACCATGGCAGGCATTGCGGGTGTCCGATAATCCATATAGGGCTCGAATACAATCAGGATTCGAATAAATTGCCTTGTACACTTTGGTGGGACCCATTAAAGAACGCCATTTCGAAATACTATCCGCTGATTGTAGAATTAAAGCATATGATGGACCACTGGAAAAGATGAAAACAAAGCAATTATTATTATAATTAAATTAATTAGATTCCTCCAACTTACCTTCCCATAAATGTGGTCAGTCGATTATAAAAGAATTTCCCCTTATGCTCAGCATAGAATTTTTCCGATAAATGTTTCGTAATGTGAACTTCTTTGGATTCCAGTACTTGGAAATTGTCTTTTATCAATTCCAGTAAATGGCGCAATGCCACTGTATTACGTACCACATGGGGTTTAATTAAAGCTAATGTGATTTCCATTATTGTCCGATATTTTCTAATTCTAATCCTTAAACATTTAATTTAGATTTTCCAACCCAACGTTGGGGGTGTTATTTTTCCTTTGTTATTGTTCTGATTATTTGTTATGATATTGGTTTTTGTTGTAAATTTACACAGCTGATCATTTGACGTTTATTCACAGAGCATGTTTATGCAGCTAACGGCTACCTTACAATAGCCTGTATGGCAAGTGGCAAACATTTACATTGTACTTAATTTCGTTACCCAGTAGGTTTAAATTGTCAATTGCATTCAATATTTGACAAACAAATCATTATAACCCGCTGAAAAGTTAAAATGTACATGTTATTTACGATTTATCAGCAAAGTAATTACGAAGTCATGGTATAATAATAGAAGGTAACAGCAAGTGTTGTTGTACAAAAAACGATACAACAACCACATGGAAATTTGTTGTTGTAAGTTCTACTAGTGTCAACTCATTTGACAGAAAAATGTAAACAAACAAACAAATTATCATCAAATTATTTTTATTTTGAAAATGAAATATTTTCGAATCCTCAGAATAAAAATTGAAAATCATGAATGAAAATCTTTCAAATTTATATTTCTATCGCTTTCACATCTTTCCTATAATTGAGCCATTGCCACATATATGTGTAACACATATGAAAATGCAGGGAATAGCGAGTTATTCCTTGAAGAAAGATTTGCTTCCTGAAACTTTCCCAGCAGGCAGATTGAGTAAATTGAATACGGGAGCACATTTAATAATGAACAATTTCAAATTGTATGCGTTCCCAATTTTCCTGTTGGGTGATTTTTAAAAACATAATTTGTCAAATTCATATTGACACTAGTATTACAATGGAATCAAATCAGCTGGGATTTGCTGTTACCTTTTATAATTGTACCATGTTACGAAGTGTACTGTATATTTCGATTGTTTGTCGATATAGGTATACAGATGGTTCAAAGATGGAAGCAGACACAGGTGCCAGATTTTTCTGTGAAGAATCTTCAATCAAGAACTCATAGAAGCTAAGTAGAATTCCAGATCATAGTGACATTAAGGGAAATAAAGTAGCTCATGAGCTTGCTCGATGTGGATAGCAGTCAATCGATTTAACAATTGATGATATTGTTAGACCTAAACTTAGCTAATGTTTGGGAAAGTAACAATAAGATGAAATGAGGAATATAGATATACACCATAATTTCTAAACATAGATCGCAACCATTAATTTCTACGCATAGAAAAGAGATAAGGACAATCATAGGGATCATAACAGGTCACTGCAGAATCAGATGCCTTTTTTCAAAATGGGAGATTAATGTAATATCGTTTAAGCGTATCCAAAAGTTTCGAACAAATCCTGACGTTTATTTAATATCGAAATTATTTTGTTACTCCTACTGGGAGCAAAATATTGCTATCGTGCCCGATTATTGGTCTTTGCATCTTCATATGTAATTTTATTTTGTCTCGACTTTGTGATCCTTGGGCATTTCATTGAAGCACCATTCTTAAGGTGTAACCAATGCATCTCCTTTTCCTAGATTTAGTCTTCTTTTGTATGAGTGTCGGACCTGGTTGGACCACATAAACCTGCATATGATTCTCAGGCATTTATTTATGAATACCTGTAGTTTTTGCGTGATAGACGAGTCAATTTTGAAGCGTAGAATCTATTTTATACATGCTTCGAATATTTTATGGTCGGGTTTTCTAGATATATGTGAACTTTTCTTCTCCCTAGATAGCAACAGCTATCAACGTATTTAATTGCCATGTAGCATAATGTTCATTGTACTTATGTTGCTAATTTCCAATGTTCTACTTTTCTTGATATTAATCTCAAATCCAAAATTGCGAGCTAGTTTTTCAAGGATTTCTAATTATTACTGCATGTTAGATATCCTGTGTTAGAAAGATCAGATATCATCCATTCTCAAATTGTAGTAAAAGACCTCAAATTATGTTTCTTTTCTGGGAGCAGATTTCATTCATTATTTGAGAGTTCTGAATTTGGGCGGATGGTGTCGAAGACTTTCTTAAATCCCTCTGGTGGGCACGATAACTCTCGAAGGGAGTAAACTTCATAATATTTATTTCAAAATTAGTTTAAGTTCGAGGATGGGGAATATCCGTCCACTTGACACCTCCCCAACAAAATGGTCAGAAATGTGGCAAATAACCTCCACAATCCCATGGTCAAGCATTCTTTTCTTTGAATGATTCTTTATACCCCCAGCCTTATGGCTAATGAGGGTATATACAGTTTGCTACAGCAAAAATGTGCCTCATCGAAAAATTGGTTTCAGACCCCATGTTTCAAACAATTAGTATCCTATTTACAAATGTCCGTCTGGCTCTGGAAGGGAGTAAAAGATTTCATCCAAACTACTTTAAGATCGAAGATGAGGATTATCGCTCCACTTTTTCTGATACCTCCTCCACAAAATGTTCAAAATTGTGCAAAAAATTAATTTTTTAATATCATGAGAACGAATTATCTGATCTGTATCAAACATTGTACAAACTATTATTTTTACCATTTTTACCGACGGTCCCCTCCTTCTGGTATCTCCCCACAAATGGTAAACATTTTCAACATTTATAAACGAAGTATCAGGCGAATGTAGAAATGTCCACTTTTAACCAAACTTCGCACGACCTATAATTTTATCTATCCTAGACCGCTTCTTTTGGAACCTTCCTCACAAATGGTCAAAATCTTCAATATTTATAAATACGGTATCAGGGTTAAGTAAGGAATAAAGCGAGAAAACATATGTTAAATAAACCCAACTTGCTGTGTATATTTATTTCTTATATGACGGAAGATGCCACTACACACAGAGCTGCGTTTTTTGTTATTCACCTCATGATAGCATACCTTGAATTTTTTCCTTACATAAATCTATTTTATGTATACAAGACTAGTAATGAGTACCCTTATTGCACAGTTCAACTTCTATACACCATGTGATCAACCTTAATACTGTGAAAAGATATCGCCATCTGGCAACTTTAGTGCAAGTGACATTTGACCATATATCAGTGTGTGTATTCATAGCCTATGATTGTAGCATTTACGCGAAAATGGTAAATATTAAAATATTATTTATTAATTTTTGTGATATTTAAATCATTAACTATCCAAATTTATAGGCCTCCACAAGTACTGCATCCACAACCGATGATCGGCGTATATGGGTTGGCAATTTAGATCCCAGATTAAGCGAGTAAGTAGAAGCACTAAATTTGGCTTGTTGTTGTTTGATGTGTGTTCATCAAGACCCTCAGAAGCTAATTGCAAACATTTCATTCTTTTCATTTTCGAAATATGGGTTTCACCTCCTGAAAGTTGTGCAAAAATGTGGCGAGATAGAAAAATTTGATATGCTCTTTCACAAAGGCGGTCCCCTGCAAGGGCAATCTAGGGGTTATGCATTTGTTACCTTTACCAAGGTGAGTAAACAAACAGTGACATATGTTTGATGGCATTGGACTTAATTTACATCTGGAAATTTCTTTTGGTTTCTGTTGCACATTTTTAGTCCAGTTCAGCTATGGTGGCATTGGAAAAATTAAATGGCCATGTGATTTTAAATCGTCCTATTGCCGTGAGATTGGCCAAAAATATAAATTATGTATGTTGAAATCGAATTAATTTTAAATTTACAAATCTTAACAATTTACCTTTTACTTTTTAGGACGAATTTGAACGACCCAAACCGAAAATTGAAATCCCCGCATTGGGCACGGGCAAACGTGAAGGCAAAATAACACGCGAAGAAGCCATAAAAGCCATCGAACAAAAACTCAAAGCCATCGAATCTCAAGGTGATGATATTGATTTCAGTCAACCCACCGCCGGCCCTGTTATACCTCTCATACAAAAATATCAATTCAATAAGGATCGTGATGCCAAAACTGCATCAGCAACACAGCGTCGACCATATCACAAAAGCAGTTCCGGCCCCTATAGTAGACATCAAAGGCCAAAACGAAGATAGAAGTAAAAAACAAAATGTTGTTGTTCTCGTCACAACACACACCGTACTTATAGTTCAAAAGAAAAAATGTATCGTTTTTATATTTCCATCCATTTATTTGTGTATTTTTATCTCATTCACCTCATAACGCAGACTACCTTAAAACAAAACTCACAGCATAGAGTTAACTCGTAACAAAAGAAAAACTTGAAGCTAATAAAAAAACGTAGCAAAATTAAATGTTTTAAAAACGTAACGTAAATTTATTTGGGAGCAAAAATATGTTTTCCACGCATATGATCGGGTAGTTTAACTAATGCAGGGCAAGGAACTTGTCCGGGTATTTCACATATGCAATGACGATTGCAGCCGTGACCAAAGTTGGCAGGATTGTCTTTACTCTCGGCCAAACGTGCTTCGGCATCCAATTGTTCTCTGAAAATAAGAAAAAATATTGATGAATTATAGGTTCAGTTTGAATTAGGTTTAAAAAGATGTTCATTCAATTGTTTTCCTAGGAACTAGGGTGATGTTTATAATTCGTTCATTCCGAGAAGTCGGGGCCAAATAACAGCAATAATATCTGATAAATTTTTATAGCATATTATGTTTATTACGATTTATACATTTCCGTCAGTTGTGGAGCTCAATGGCTTTTAAACAATGAGCTGAGGTGACAGATGTGGGCCGAGGGCTGGGGTCGTTTCGAATTGCGCGTTTTCGACCGAATTCACTGTAATTTGGAATATTGGGTTACTATATGGTACCAAATCCCCACCAATCCATTTTTCGGGTAGCCCCCATATAACAGTACCCAAAAAAAATTCGATTTTTCGAGTTTTTCAACCCAATTCGCTGCAATTTGTCACTTTGTGTACCTATTGGGTACCAAATCCCCACCCCTAAAAATGTCAATATCGGTCCACTTTTTCGGGTAACCCCTATATAAAGGTATCCCAAACTTTTCGCTATTTTGGGTAGTTTGGGCACGTTTTTAACCGAAATGAATGTAATTTGGAATTTTGGATTATCATTTGATACAAAAGCTCTCTACTAAAAATGATCAATATCGGCCCACATTTTGGGTTAGTCCCGTTATAAAAATACCCTCAAAATATCGGGATCTTGAGGATTTTGTTCAAGTTTTTCAATCGAATTAACTGTAATCTAGAATTTCAGATCCTAATTGGGTGCCAAATCTTTCCTGGTAAAAATATGGACCGAATTTTTTTGGATATCACCGTATAACGGTACTCCCAAATTTTCGGTATTTTGGGCTTTTTAGCAAACCGGTCAGTATACCTATGGTGGAGGGTATACAAAGTTCGGCCCGACACAACCTGACGCCTTTTCAATTATTAATATTCCTATTTGGACATTTGCAACCCTACTCTTCAGGACCTCCATCCTGACATGCCTTAGTGCAAAATGACTAATCATGAGATGATACCCTAGATGATTGTCCCAGTAACACCCCAGCATCGATTTTTGAAGAGACATCATGGTCGAAGTTCTGGTAGTATTGAATAAGCTAGTATTAAGAGCAGTTGATCTATAATTCGATCTGTAATCTTGAATAGCTTCCAATACATTAATGTAAATACTCTTTGTAGTAGACCGGTTGATATTTTTTTACTCCGAGACCTCCCTCCTGACGTGTCTGAGTACAAAATGACTAATAATGAGGTGGTGCCTTGGATGATTGTTTCCGTATAACCCAAACATCCCGTTTTGGCCTATTAGATTTTTGAAGAGACATCTTGTCAAACTTCTAGTACAATTGAATATGCTATTGATGGCAGTAAATCTACAAGGTTTTCTCTATAATAAGCATAGTTTCCAATAAATCAATGGGGGTAATTTTCGTAATAGACCTACGGATCTATCAAAGTTTTGAAGATACACCTTTTCTAAGTTCTGGTATGATTGAATAGGTTTCCATTGTGTTTCCATAGTTAACAATAGACCAGCATATAGCTTTATAGGTTGACAAAAAGGGGTTTATTTATCTGTTTCCCAAGAGCTTCTGAGCTGGTCCCAGCATCGGAATGTGCAGACTACATGACTATCAAATGTGACCCCTATGACACTATAGGGTAGCTCTGGTGCTGGTGAATATTTTCAGCCTAGACGCCATAAACGTACCATCATCCACGTACGGGATAATTTTGAGAATACGACAAAGGTAGAGGACATATAGTTCCGGACATTTTCTGGCTGAATCCTCCACCATAACATAATAATTTTTTCTTTCCGTTTGTAACTCCTTAAAATCAAAGTCGTTTTAGTCTTGTTCTACCGACTGTTGTAAACTCGTAGTAATTTCGGGCTGCTGTCTTGTCCACTTGTGTGTTTGTCTCTAGTCAGGTTTAATTTGACAGCGGTCCAAGTTTTGGGTTCAAAAGTTTTGTACCAAAAATAATAATGTTGGTTAAGTATAACATCCATGTAACTATCATCCTATATTGTATATTTTTAGGATTTTGGACAACTTTTCCAACTCTATTTAATGTAATTTGGTATTTCGATTAAAAATGTGTCCAATATTGGTACATGTACTTTGAGATTTTAGGGAAATGTTCCATTAAATGTGACTACGGTGGAAGATAAAATATTTTTGGTGAAAGAAAGATTCACAACTTTGTCTATGACCCCATATGATTGTACCGTCAATTCCTAATTTACAAAGTTTCAGATTTTTTCCTGTTATGTGTTCTTTTAACCGGCTTATTAGTAACAACTTCTAAACTTGATGAACATAAATTAAAATTCTCTTTATGAAGTTATACTTTTATATATACCACAACCACATATATAAATTTGTTCCAAATTTATACTCACTTCGTTTTGCCGACAACCTTCATCAGATGATCCATAATTTCATGACGATTTTTGCTATCAATATCAATCAAAATATCACGACCATCCTCGAAATAACAACGAACAAATGGGGATGGTGTCATATTTTTGAATGTAACAACTTGTACAGCTGGATTTTTATACTGGACTTGGGGTATATTCCAAAATACGAAATCACTGCAAAAAATAAATACAAAATAACATAATTTCAATTCATTGTAGCCGCCTGTAGCACCGCTGTTACGTATCAACTTACCGGGCACCATCATGATGTTCGCCATAGGTATTATAATTGACGCTGAAGATTTTCACTTTATCCTTCAATACCAAGCGGCCAGCATTTAAGTATTCCAAAGTACGACGAATCGGGGCTCTACCTTTCATAAACGACATCTTGACTGTGTGGTTTTTATTAGTTTTATTAATGAATTAAACAAAAACCGTAGAATGGAGTTATGTTCACACAAAATGAGAAAATGTGAGACAAGGTGATTTTGTTATGCAGTCAGCTGTTTGTATTTGACAGTTTGATAACAGCTGTGTGGGGGCTAAATTATGTTTTTGTGTGTGGCAATGCCATTGTTTTTACATGTTTCGACTGTTACATTTTTTGTACTTTATACCATAGACAAACGACAGCCTTAATTTGCATTAAAAAGTTCTTAATTTGAATTAAAATTTACCCCTGACAGACGAGAGTTTCTGCATTTATGAACCAGTTTTTTGTTTCAAAACTATTGTTTGTCTGTGTGTAGGAAGAAAATATTGACATTTCTTTACAATATTTTTTAGGATTTCATCTTTTTGAAATTGATACATGGCAGGAAGGAAAACTAACAGCTATAATGAAGATAAAACAGCTCCAAATTTGAAGAAATGTTGAATTTTGCCTTTATATTTGATTTTTATTTTCGTAAACGTAAACTAGACATCTGCATGAATGTACTCGTACAATGAATCCACATCCACATTCATGGATGTTAAGTCGTATTCAGAGTACACAACAACATTTAATGAGTGCAAATGAATTCAACCACCGAAGTTGTGTTGTTCTTCGTTGTGCTTTGTCCGATCAAACGATCAAACTTGAAAGCACAACATTCAGTATGATGGACTACAAGAACAAGTTATACAACATCAATGAGTCCAATGAGTGAACATCATGCAATGTATTTTGTATTCTATGTATTCATTCAACGACTTAACATTGATTGTGGGCATTTATTGTACAGGTACATGCAAATGTTTACCTTGTACTCCTTAAAACTTTATTAGTGAGCAATAGTGAGAAATAATGTCTTTTATTTTTTTCTATTGAATACAAGTAAATAAAAACTCCAGAAAAATAAGTAAAAGTTAAATGAAATGATGTAAGAAAAATCGGCGGAATCTTCCTCAAGGGATATACAAAAATAGGCCTATGCAGAAAATTAGAGTACAAAGTTATATGAGGAGTACAAATAAGTATTTGCGGAAATACATATGCACTTTTTTGGGACTTAAAGACTTTTCATTTGTTCTTTATGTTTTTGTGGACGTAGGTCATTTTCTTACAAATTGTCTCTCATTACATTTCTTAATTTCTGTAATAAATTTGTACTTTTGTTGATTTTTTACATGATAATATTATTAAGTAGAGTAGAGATTGTTTATTAAAAAATATGAATAAAAATAATTAAAACGTCCTTAAGTTCGACAGGGCCGACCTTTTTATACTCACCGCCGCGAGGTGAACAGTCAAATTTTTAAATTGATCGGTATTTTTATATGGGTTTTATGCCCTGGTAAATAACTACCAAGAGAAATATCAAAAATAGAGACTATTGGAAATTTGGACTAGGACCTTGTACATACCGAAATCCTCAAATTGTCAAAAATTTAGTGTACAGTTTTGTTGGGTCTATACCAAATCGCGGACAGATAACGATAATTTTTTGTAAAAAAAGGATTGGACACACAATGAGAACTCAAAATAACAAATTAGAACCTACTCGGTTGAAAAACGTATCCAAAATACCGAAAAATGGGGTAAGGTAATATGGGGGAACTCCAAAACTTGGACCAATATTGATAATTTAGAGTCCTAAATATAAAATTACAGTCGTTTGAAAAACGTACCCAAACCTACCAAAATTTCGAATATTGGGCGGTACCCTAAAAAGTAGACCAATATTGATATTTTTTGTTGGAAGGTGTGCTACCCATAAGTACCTAAAATACCAAACTACAGACAATTCGGCTGAAAATCATGTCCAAAATCCTAAATATGAAATGTGGACTTAAAGCCTTTACGTGATGTTAAGTCAGTGACATGTGATGAATTGGACTTAGCGCCTTTACTCATCAATACAAAACAACAATAACAAAAGAGATAAATATATTTTAATTTTTTTAGATCGATGTATTTTGCCTTTTTATACATAACTGTATCAAAATCTCAATTTCTAGATAAATGGACTTGTGTCCTTTTCAAATTAAGCCAGCGAAAATGTTTTAAATAGTTTGTTAGTTACTGGCAGTATGAACATTTCCAACACTTTGCAAAGAAGGTTTATGCAAACGAGCGTTCGCACACACATTAAAAACACACAACAGTCATCGTCGTTCAATGCGTTGGTTATATATAAGGGGGCCAATATTGATTACTTCTCGGGAGGATATACTTAATGTGGACTGATAAAGGCCATTTTGGAACGTAACGGTTTAGTTTTGTATCTCGACACCCCCGAAGGTAGTAATATTACAACAGAAGTCTTAACATATTATAGGTTATGAACTGTCAAGTTGTAGTACTGAATATCCCCCACACTATGGGGTATCCAATTCGAACCCAAATTAAAACGAATTTAAAAAAAGTGCGTTTAAAAACATCTTGACATATTGAAAAAAGAAAAGTTCTGCTATATAGTGGATACATTACTAGATATTCATAAATTTTGTCCTTATTAAGAATATATATACTTTATATGGGCGGAAATGACTATTTCGATGAGTTACAAAAAAAAAAAACATAACATAACATAACATACCCTTCATACTTTTGTGGATGGTGTAAAAACCAAAATATCTCGTCAATTAATTCGGGTAATTCGAATACTACTGTATAATTCGACACACTCATTGTGTAAAACATGTTCGTGTACGAACTTGCCGCATTTGTTCAAACTTTGTGTGTTACAACATACATTCATACCGAAGTAAACATCCACAATAAATACCGGTTCGTCGAGTCTGAAACGTGGATTGTATGAATCAAACGAATACACAACAAATTCGAAACTCTCATACCTGAAGCAATTCATATTTGTTGTACCCTCACTCATTGGACTTCATTTCAAACAAATTTATAGAATAGAAGCCATTACTTTGTGTGAGTGACTCATGGGTGGTGTTTTTGTGCATTCATGCAGATGTCTAACGTAAACAAATTTGACAACAATCAATTTATTTTCTACAGCATTGCCATACTGAAATTGCTTAATTCAGTATAAATTCAGTTTGATTTTGTGCATTAACAACACATAAAAATGAGGATAATGTACAAGTTAATTTGAATTAAGGCTGTTAATGCAAATTAAGGCTGTCGTCTGTCTAGGCTATTAGTCATCACAATAGAAATTTAGAAAAAGCATTAAAGAATATTAATTTGATTCCATAAAAAAAAATTATCCCATTAAAACAAATTATAATTGTAGTTTTTGCAAAAAATTAGGCTGGAATTCAGCCTGACTATTTTGCAAAAACAAAATACAAATGGTATCCCATTTGTACACTATTATAATTTTTGTTTTAAAAATAAATAGTATTGTGTAAAATAACTGTGGAAATATATACTCTGTTCCAAAACTGGCAACAATCTTCAATTATAAATTTATCTTTTATAAATTTATCTTTGTGTTTATTTGACATTTTTTCAACACAAAACTAATATCAATATTTGATAGTACACTTGATTCAGACTATTGTTGTTTTGTTTTCATATTTCGAGAAGAACGACATTTTCGATGACGTATCATGTGTTTAGTCATGAATGACAATTCCATAAATTTCGTCAACGTTTCGTTAACGAAATTGTCACGCAAGAGAGTATTTTCTTTTGGGTAGTATTCAAAACAATACACATGCATACACAAAATATGTATTTTGATTTGTTGGAACAAGCCACATTGAGAAAAAATTGTAATCAGTTGGTAGCTCTTCCCTACCTTGTAATAATTATATCATGCTACTTACACAATTTTTTATTTTTTAAATGATTACTGATTTAAAACGATTTAGAATATTATATAATATTCTTATGACATTTCGTTTTTTTGCAAGGGGGTTTATTTTAATACCACACATTCGCATTTCTATTGGTCAGTTGCGTACCCAAAAAGTGGTACAACTTTTCATATCTATCGATGTGATAGAAATGTCTTTTCATTTTCTGAATAAATAACATTTAAAATTGCAGCTACCTTCAAAACTTCTGAAGCAAATTGTTTCATAAATGAAAAACTCTGCAAATGGTCAACAGGAAATGAAGAGGCTAAATTTTATGGGAAATTACAAAATTCTTTTAAAATTCCATTAAAAAAAATTTGAAAAAAATTTTTGCGAGCACATTCATGATTTTTGGTACGTAGGTTAAGAAAAATATGATGATTCGAAATCTGTTCTCGTTCACAAATTCGGATGCTGCGCACAAAAGTTATAGCGGTTTTAAATCTTGTATTTCAAATATAAATTAAATGAAAACTATTTGTTGTAATTCGCGAATTTCTTCACAAATGGATAAACACATTTGTTTTCTTTGCATACTTGTCAAATCACATTGAAATACGGTGTAATAGTCGCGATAAACAAATAGAAGCATGAAGATATCTGAAAATAAAATAAATAATTTTTTTAATTAACACAATACGTTTATTTGTATTTTCGATTTTTTTACTGTGGTTAAGGGAATACGGTTTTGCCCTAATCTTCTGAAATATATGACGCTTTCTTCTGCAAATTCTTTTAGATGATTCTTAAATGTCTGTAGATTCATCTGATAAGATTTTCGACGTTAAAAATTACTGAATATATTGCACTTACAATACATAAAAATGGTCAATATTGAAAAGCATGCAATACGCGTATTCGTGGAAATCAGTTGTTGCGCATGCGGTTTTCGTATAAACCGAATCAATCTCTTCCAATAATTATGAATTTTTCGAGGTTTCATTAGGGGTCAAAGTTTGCCGCTCGATGCATTTTACTATGCAAAAACCCTAAAAATGAATAAAAATGGCGCAACGTACATACGATTTTTATGCGCATCCGATTTTAGTAATATCCTATTAAAATACACAAAAGGACACCTATTTTAAAAGGATCGGTTAAGAACCACAATCGATTTTGGATAAAATACGC